AGATCTGTAGTCAGTACTGGTGAATTCCCCCTCGGTTGTCTGAAATCCACCTGGGGGCAGCTGGTCGGGAAGCCACAGGCCGCCCCTTCCGAGCAGAGCTGAGAGCTGGGAGGCTTGGTTGGGCGGTGGCAAGCTCCTCGCCGAGACATCCCATTCCGGGAGAGAGTTCCTTTAAGAAGTCGTTTATTTCTCTGGTTGGCGCTGGTCATGCCTCTTATGAGACCGGACTAGCAGTAACCACTCTCTAGTTCGCCGCTACTGAAAAGTTACTGACTTCTCCAGGGCTTGCTCCTTAGCCCTCTCCCCTCAAGGTGCGATCCCGCCACCGGGCCAGGGTGCTCCGCTCCTCTCTTGGGGCCCCTGAAGGCCCCCGAGGGCCCCAGACCGAGTCAGCATCGGTAGGGCTTCTGCCCCGCACCAGAGCCTGGGGTGCGATCTGATCCTGTCTGAGAGGAGATAGCGTCAAATATAGGACCACCGATTCTTCGCAGGGTTCCCGTGGGGCTCTGGACATCCCGAATCCGGGACTGGGGCCCCAGCCGAGGGCTCTGGGCTCCGGGAATCCTGGGTTCGGGGATGGCCAGGCGGTTGGGGTGGTAGGGGCGGCCCCATTGGAGGCTTCTCGAGAGAGGCTGGAAGGGCACGTGGGGAGTGCCGAGGAGTCCAAGGACCGCCCCAGGACTTTTATCTCCCTTTTGCCCTGCTGTCCATTATCGCTGGGTGCACCCGAGCTCCTCCCCACGCCCGCTAGAAGATGAGAGGTGGTCTAGGGCCAGTGCGGGGGTTAGGACTGGGGTCCAGGACTCGCCTCTCTCCCTATGTACCCACTGCCCACGTGGGCAAATACACGACCTCTCGCCAGGGCCGCGAGTTGCTGCGTTTGTTCGGTGGTTGTGTGTTTCGGTCACTTTACCAATTGTGCCCTGGAAAGCCCAGAGAGGGAGCTGTGGGGCGGCGGCGGCTTTGGACTTCTGAGTTGCCTCTGGGCGACCTCTCCCGCAGTTTTGGGGAGCCTGGAGACTCTTGGCACCGCCTCACTAGCAGCTACAGAGAGGATCTGCTTTGCAGGCGGGCGGGAGCCCTTCTTTCTCTCCAGCTCAGCCCGCGTCCAGCGCAGCGTCGCCGTCGGGGCACGGAGTCCTGCCCAGTGGCCCCCGAGGGCCCAAGCTTAGGTCCGAAGGCCCCTGGGCCCAGAGAGCCGAACCGCCGCCTGCGCAGTCCGACGCCCCTGGCGGCGGGGAGGCTGCAGCGGCCACTTTCCTTCCCCGGCACACCCGACCTGGACGCCGCGGAAACACCCTTGGCAAATAGGTTTTCCGGGGGATTTTCGAGTAAGGGGTGGGCAGAGTGTCGAAAAGCTCAACCTCTTCCCGGACAAGGGGACTAGCCAGACTTGGTCGCTGCAGACCTCGAGACGGATCGGCAGTGTGGACGGCCTGAATGCCTCAGGATGGACGCGTGACTCTTGCTTCCCGCGCCAGGGTTTTTCTCCGTGGGCAAGGGTCCCAAAAAGCCAGACACGACAAGAGAAAAATCTTTTCCTGTTCCCCTCTCTACAAGCCCCGAGGGTCTAGAGGGCTGCCGCCAGCCCTTGGCCTGCCTTGCTACCACCTCCCCTTCTTGAAGAATTCTAGGTTTGGCCCCTCAAACTCAAAGGAGATCAGCTGCTGAGCACCAAGCCCCCACCCCACCCCGCTTGTTGCTGCCAGAAGACAATCCCAACCCCAGCACTCCTCCGAGGGAAGCCACGGAGGTCTCCAGCAGCCGCTGTTGGACAGTAGGAGCAGAGGCGGTCGCAGGAGTTGCGAGCCATAGGTGACTCGGTGGAGTCACCGTGTGTGTTCACCACCAAACTGTCTGCAGGGTGCTCTTGAGCTCCAAGGAGAACACGGGCCCCGACCAGCTTTGGGGGCTCTCTTCTGCACCTCGCCCCTCCTCGCTCTCCCTGAGGCCCCAAACAGTTCCCACCGGGACTCTGGGACGTCTGGCAAGGAAGGAGCAGAGACCTGGATGGCTCTTTGCCTGCACCCCTCGCTCGCTCCACTCCTGCTCGGCTTTTGAGCTTTTTCTTTCTCCGTGGACGCTCAGCCAAGCGATTGCGCAAGCTTCCTGCTCCCTGTCCTTCACAGGCCCTGGGCCGGAGCGGGACGCACCCCTGGCCAGGCGCGCCGCTGCTTTCCCATTCGGGCCATCTAGCCCCTTGCCAGGTCCCCCCACCTCGACCCCACGGAGCTCGCGGGCCGCCGCCGGCGCCCTCGGGAGGCCGAGTAGGGCGCAGCAGCTCCCCCAGCCGGACGCTGGAGCGGCTCGCCAGAACGCGCCGTCTCGCCGGCCGCGGGAGGTGCTAAACTTCACACTAGGAGGCTCCTACCGCCGCGTCCCGTCCCGAAGGGCCTTGGCTAGGCTGCCTGTCGGGGACCAGGGGACGCGCATTCCTAAGGAATGCATGGCTCTTCGGCGGTTCCGTTCACCTTCCCTTCGCGCCGAATGCTCTTCCACTACTCAGCCTCAGCTTCTTTTCGGCTCTCCTGCCCGCTTTTTCGAGGTTCCTCCCAGGACCTCACGAAGTCCCCTGGGTCCCCAAGCAGATCCAAACATTCCCCATAGCCCTCGCTCTGTCCTGCCTGCCTCGCGTCCTGCGCGGCCCTGGGCCTGCTGCAAACTGGACATCCTGAGCCGGCTAAGCATAAACTGTGAGCCGTTTAGGACCGGCCGTGAGTGTGGACCGGAGCCTTTTCCTGGTGAGGCGCTAGACCGCTTTCGTCGGGGCTGGCCTTTCCCCGTCCCCTTCCTCGCCTCTTCCAACTCCTTCACACCTCGTCCTTGGTCCGCTCCCCACCCCCTTCCTTGAGCTTCCTCGCGGGCCTAAAAGCCCGAGCCTTGCGGGGCGGGGCGAAGGGCCTGCAGGGCGGGAGTGCCAGTTGCCCCCGCCCCGATTCCGCCCCCTGCCGGCGGCTCCCCAAGCCTCCAGAGCCGCCGGCCTCGCAATTCGGAGCAACTATGAACTGCTGCGAATGCCTCTGTGGCCCCCAGCAAGGGTCCCCGGGCCATGCACACTGGGAAAGGCCGGCGGGCGGTGGGGGGCCAGGTCATCGAGCTGGCCGGGCCGAC